GGATACGTTAGGCTTCAGGTAAAAGGAAACTCAACTCAAAATGTCTTTAACAATAAGTACATCCATTCTTTTAGTTCATGGTTGTGGGCAGATTTCAGAGTTGGTTGATTCAGTGGCTCAACATTATCATCAAGACCCCCCAGTTATTTCTATTTCTATCAAACTGCTATCCTTGGTGTTGCCTACCTCCGCAGGCTGGTAAGAAGATGGCTGCAGTAGTTCCAGGCTTCACAGCAGAGCCCAGACATTTGCAGAGGAAAATGAAAGATCATTCCCCATCATGGTTCTCTCTCTTAGGAGTGAGAAGTTTTTTTCCAAAAGCCCTCTGGCAAATTTCCCTTTAAGGCTCAGTGGCCAGAGTTGCATTGCATGCACTTCTTGAACCAATCATTGGCAAGAGAATGGGATTACTTTTAGACCCATCAGGCCTATTCTTAGGGCTGGGGCTGGGCTCAGGGTTCCCTGGGGCACGCAGCTGTATGGGAGGGAGGTTTATGTTAAAAAGGAAGAAGTGGGGAATGGACACAGGTAAGTCATAGTCTCCACTACACCCAATATGTGGATGCAAGGACGCTGAGACTCAGAATGGTAAAGGGAATGCCTAAGAAGTGGCAGGGCCATGGTTGATAAAACTGTGTTTTTTATGAAGCGTGTGTAGAATATGAATGGAACATAGAATGTTCTGGCTGGAAGAGACAATAAAGTCATCAGGTCCTTGACCTATCCTAGTACTTTGAAAGCATGGGCCTTGGTTTTGCTAGCTCCTCAGCCAAAATACCTTCCTAGGGATACCTCTGAAGCGGACTTACCCCCAAATCTGTCGATCTTCCCTTTGAAGGGCAATGTGTGCTTGTTATATAAAAATTTTGTGTGGTAGAGAGGGGGCCAGGAGAGCTCCCAGTCCCTGAAGTTCCCCTGCTCCTGAGGGAGCGGAGTGTGAGAGGGGCAAGAAGACAGAAGCTTGTTTCCAGCAGGGTGTCTTCCGTGAGAACCGGGGGCGGAATGGCTGCCTCGCCTTACGCTGAGCAGCCTTCTGATCCACCCGTGTCCACCTCTGGAGGCCCCTGGGCCTTCTTCTTTCTTCTCTCTTCTCTGTTTTTTACAGTCCTCTCTCTCTTTTACTCTACCTCCTCCCCCAAGTTCTGCTTCTTTTTCCTGTTGTCATTAAGCCCAAGCATTGAGTTCCGTGTGGTTCTATCTTAATAAACCTAGAGTGGGAGCCGGGAATTGTTTTTAGGTTCTGCAAGCAGAAGGTAAAAAACAGCAGCATTGCTTGTTCTAGCCTCAGGATGAAGCATCTTCAACATAAGCAAACGTTTCTCCTGCAAAAAATTGACCGCACAGAGCATAATTCTGGTGCGTTAGTATGCTTGCTGAGTCTTTGTCTCTTTGCTGAACCTTATCAAATATTCCTAAGATTGTCTACCTTTTAGCATAATTGTAGACATCTTAATGCAAAAAAAAAAAAAAAAAAAAGGCACTTTCCTCCCTTATCAAAGACATTTTTATCCACACTTGGCAGGTGCACAGGTGGGCATGCTCGTTAACACTGGGCCTGCTCCACACTGTCAGGGCTGTTTGCCACACGCTGTCCCTGACTGGGCCACCAATCTTTTATCTCTTAGTCCTTGGCTCTCTCCCCCCATGATTCAAAGTCTGAGAGGCAGTGTCCGTGTGGCTAATGCTGGGTCAAATGTCCTTGCTCCGATGTGTGCTAGTGTGAAGGGGTTAGAGGATGAGAGGGAGGACATTCCTACTGCAGTTTTTAGAATGGAAGTAGGGTGTTCTCTCTGCCACCAAGACTAATCCAATGAAGAATATGGATGTCAGGGGTTCAAATGTTTGGCAGACAACAAATGACCGGAGTCCATAACACTGGTACATGAATTGCCTGAGTTTCTAGAGTGGAGGAAAGGCTCAGAACCAATGAGAAAAGAAAAATCAAGTTAAAGAAAACCCACTAGTTAGCAGAGCAAGTCAATCAAATGTTTCTTAGAACCACTATGGAGGTGGTTCTCAAACTTCTGGGTGTGTCACAATTTGAGGAGCACTTAGTAAAGACACCGTTTCTAAACCTCACCCCAGGCACATTGGATGAGACTCCTCTGGAGGAAGGGAGCAGGCATCCACACTTTCCAGAAACTCCATGTATAATTACAATGAACTGGGTCTGCCGAGCTCCTCTGAGAAATACTACTTGCAGACTGGGAGAAGTGATTAGCATAACAGTAAAAATAGCTAAATTTAAGTAGAGCTTTCTATGTTAAGCACTTTATCCAGGTTGTCTCATTTTAACTTAACAATGGCCCTGGCAGTACTATTTTGCCCATTTTACAGATAAGCACAGAGATGTTAACTAATTTGCCTAACATCACAAAGATGGTAAGTAGTGGGTCCAAGATTTGTAACCCACAGTGATTCCAAGCTCATACTCTTAAGCCTGAGCAGAGGGCTCCTTAAAAAGGTCAGAGAATCCAAATACTGAAGTTTTCAGCCTCAGGTTTGTGGATCCTGGAGACTGGTCCCATGGAGAATACAGAGTAAGAAAGACAATTATCGCACCGGAAGAGGGGGAGAAGCTTGAAGATAGAAACACTAATATAATCAGAGTGGCTAATATGTCCTACCTTATTGTCTTTTAACTTTCTAAAATTGGGTCCGAAAACCTTGAAACAAAAAAGAGGGGGCAGGGCAATAGATTTTGTATGACACTAGCTAAAATTGTACTGTCTTGATTTCCTTACTTTTATGGGAGTAAAATGAGCTAAGATTCCTAGAATCCATCCCAGGTTCTACTAATAGCAATCCTTAGACAATTGGATTTATTCCCCCTGCTTTTAAGCGTGTGTGTGGGGGGGGG